AATCTTTGATAATAGCTTGCTGTTATCAAATGAACTGTTCATTTGAAAACTGTAGAGCATGAAATGAGTACATAAAAATGTGATTCCATTACAGTATTTCCTTGATTCCAAAGTATAGTTTCATATTTTAACTTTTTATATTTCCTCTATTTTTTTGGTCGTGCTGCATGGCATGCAGGATCTTAGTTCCCTAACCAGGGATAGAACCCAAGCCTCCCCACAGTGGACGTGCAGTGTCTTAACCACTGGACTGCCTGGGAAGTCCCCATTTTAACATTTTTGAAATGAGAATGCATCTTGATCAAATTGCATATATATTATTGTGGCAGTACTTTTTTTTTCTTCCAGAAGAGCTTTTATTAAATTGATAACATATCTTAAAGTCTTTACAGCGTCTTAAACAAAATTGAAGAAGCCCAGCATACTATATTGCAAGGCATCTAAGATATCTGAGAAAGAAATGCTGGCAATTATATTGTAATATATCATATATTGGAAGACCATTCCACTGTCAAATGTTAAAAGATGAAAAATGTACATCTTAAAATCAACTAAGATTTTATATTAGAGATTAGGTTTGACAGGAAAAGTGTGCATTTCATGGGTTTATGGCGTATGTGTCTTGCATTAAGAAGGGCCATAGTGGCACAACAAAAAAAGATTTCTAAATAAACACAAGTGAAGAAAAATTTTTATTACTGAGCACTTAAGTTAGAAAATGATAAAAAGAATAAACATGGGGGCTTCCCTGGTGGCGCAGTGGTTGGGAATCTGCCTGCCAATGCAGGGGACAGGGGTTTGAGCCCTGGTCTGGGAGGATTCCACGTGCCGCGGAACGGCTGGGCCCGTGAGCCACGGCTGCTGAGCCTGCGTGTCTGGAGCCTGTGCTCCGCAGCAGGAGAGGCCGCGATAGTGAGAGGCCTGTGCACCGCGATGAAGAGTGGCCCCCGCTTGTCACAGCTAGAGAGAGCCCTCGCACAGAAGCGAAGACCCAACACAGCAAAAATAGATAAATTAATTAATAAACTCCTACCCCCAACATTTAAAAAAAAAAAAAGAATAAACATGGCATTTTAAATCTTGAAGTAATTAACAAAGAAAAAAACAAATCTGTTCTTCATACTAGAGCAGCAAATAACAGAGGGGCCAAGCTAAACGTCTTCATTGTAGACTGATTTGTTCCATTAGTTCCCTTTTGTTTTTATAGTATATATTTTCCTAATCTCTAAATACACTGATTGTTTTTGACATAGTCATCATCTTTGTATATCAGATTCTATAATTTTATTTTTCTGTCTTGGATAAATTGCCAAATTGCTAGGATTTTTGTTTTGTTTTAATAACTGGAGAAATGAAATTTCTTCCCTTTAGCCTTGGGAAATAATTAAAATATCCCCAAATTTAGAGCTACACTTTAAATAAGATAATTTTGTTTTGCAAGTTAACATATATTGTCAGCAGTTAACATTAAACTGCTCACCTTGGGGAAAATTAGTGTATTGCTGTTTTTCGGAGGTCACTTTGCTTCCTTCTGAATCCTAAACAAAAGATAGATATACGCTCTATCGTGTCTTTGTTTTTATGCTATCGGTCAGTCAGTGCTTATCGAACATTTATGAATGGAAGAATACCGCATTAAATACTGTTATTTTCCTACAATATTGACTAATGCTTCAAATCTTTTTGGCTTTTGTGGTGCTCTTCTAGTTTGTCTGTCTTTGTGACCTCCTATTTTCTAATTTTTTTTTTTTTTAGTTGAAGTATAGTTGATTTACAGTATTCGTTTTAGGTGTATATTTTCTGATCTTTTTTTTACCAGCTTTTAGTTATAATGGTCAGTTGAGGCTCCATTTATAAGCCTTTATTTTCTTGTCTTTTACTTCATTTGGGATTCATCTGCAGTGGTTTCAGCTATCTTCATGTGAAATTTCCAGAACCACATCTTTAGTCTTAACATTACAGTTGCTTACAGAAAATGACCAGTCAGCTGTACCAATACTAGATCTCTCCCAAAATGGGTGATCTTTTTCCTTTTAAACTTACTTCTCATTACTGTCTGATTTTCCTGCTCAAAACATGAGAGATTTTATTCCTCTCAGCTTTGCCTACATATCTGATCTGTCTTCAGAAGTAGTTTGCTTGCTAATGGTTTATTCCTTCCAGGCTTTGTGCCTTTGTTCTGTCAGTATTAACTTGGCAGTCCTTGCTTGTCCTCTCTTCCTTTAAAGCCTAGTTCAAATCTTGTATCATGTGAAGTCCCTTGGTTGACCTTACCTGGTTATTTATTCATATTCTCATCCCCTGGTCAGTTGTATACTCATACTAGTCAGTACTCATTCCACTGCATTTCTAGATTATTAAGAGATACATAAATTCTAGTATTTAGCTAGATTCAGTGCAGCAAAATTCTAGTATAATAAAATAATTTAGAAACTACCTTGGAAATTAGTACAGCAGTAATTGACCTTAATTTTTCACTTTGTAAATAAACTTTTTTTTTTCAGTTTTGAGATGTAATTGATATATAGCACTGTATAAGTTTAAGGTGTACAGAATAATGATTTGACTTTTAAAAAATTAGGAAATCATCACCACAGTGGGTTTAGTTCTAGTATTTAACTCAGAAATTATCAAAGAGGTTATAGAGTCCACAAATAGAAAAAGTATTTTTCTACAAAGTTGTGTTAGAGGGTGTCTCACATCAAGTAGTTTTAACAACGTTAACAACAATGCAACCCCCAATTTTTATTCGTCAGAGGCACCACTTTCAAGTCTTTGGGTTGTTTGTCTTCTATTTGATAATATCTGTTGACTTCCTACTACGAAAGATGAGAATTTAGCCTGCTTTATTCCCCCTCATCACACACAAAAAGACATACTCTCTTTTCCTTCCTCCAGTAACATGATAAAATTTCTTTTTTCCTCATATAAAGTTCAGTACCAGTGTTCATGGCAACGTGTTTACGCAGGATTAGGGCACTGGTTCTCATTTGTGGTCCAGGTTTACGAGAGGGGTTTCCAAGACCCTTTCAGGGAGTCTATACAATATAAAATATTTTCATTACTTTACTAATATATTATTTGCAATTTTCACTCTCATTCTTTAATGCAGAAGAAGCAGATATGAAAATTCACTTGTTTCTGTTAAACTACAGATCAGAGATTTGTAAAAATGTAACTCATTAAATATTTTGCTTTAGAAACAGTTATGTTAATACATATTGGGTTTATTTTTTTTTTCAGTAGACACTGAACAAATGTTTATAACTTACTAGTTAGAAATAGATTCCACCATATTTTAAAATATAATTTTTTAGAATTACTCTTGATATCAGTACTTAAACCTTATTGTGTTTTCATTTACTTTGAAATGAAAAGAACTGTTTACCTTCATACGTTTCATTTGGCATACTGGGATTTAGGGAATAGCTAGTATTTAATATTAGAGTATCAAAACCTTCATTAGCTCAACCCAGTTTACCAGAATTTTTGTCCCTATAATCTCAGGAGAAAGCAAACTTGTATCAAAAGTTTCATCAGTATTTCATTTCAAGTATTTGTCAAGCATTTGTTTTTAGGTGCTATGAGAGAGAGAAGCATAAGACAGCCCTTGCCTAATTGACTTAGCCTTGATGTAGATTTATCTCAATAATATCTCAGTGTTGCACTTTCAGCAACACCTATACAGTGAGAATTAACGACCAGGTTGATCACTTTGAGTCACTGCAAAATACTCAGGAAACAAAGAACAAATGTATTTTGTGTAGTAGGTTTCATTAAGATAAAAAAGATACTGGGATATCTCAGAAATATAAGAACTAAGTATATGAAGCAAAGTTTTCAAATTAGTGGTAAGTTAAACAAAATTTATTTAACATAATTTTTATATAGCACTTTATAATTTACCAAGTGATTTAGTGTGTGTTATTTAATCCTAATGACATCCCTATATAGTAGATACTATCCATATTTTACAGATGTCTGATTCAGGCTTTCAAATAGAAGCTGACTTGCTCAAGGATGTATATTGGTTGGAGTCAAATTTAGGTGTTGTGACTTCAGATCCTGTACTTTTTTTTTTTTTTTTTTTTTTTTGCGGTATGTGGGCCTCTCACTCTTGTGGCCTGTCCCATTGCGGAGCACAGGCTCCGGACGCGCAGGCTCAACGGCCATGGCTCACAGGCCTAGCCGCTCCGCAGCATGTGGGATCTTCCCGGACTGGGGCATGAACCCGTGTACCCTGCATTGGCAGGCGGACTCTCAACGACTGCACCACCAGGGAAGCCCCAGATCCTGTACTTTTATTGTATAAAGACACCATGTTTTTAAAGGATTCAAAGTAGTTAAGTTTCTGCTGTACATGTTGAAATATTTTGGAGGATATGACAGTATCTAGTATAGGCTTTGGCCATCATAATCTGTCATACTTAACCCAAATCACTAGAAGAAATAATTAAAAACTCTCATTCTGGTTATAGATCATAAAAACTTTGTGAGCAGTTAGACTCAAGTTTGAATATGTTTTTGGCCAAAGGAGAACTTTCTTATTTCAAACTGTTAAAAACCTTCAAATATGTTGCTTTAATGATCATCAGGATTATAGTCTCTGACCATAAAAGCAGGGATACATCCAGAACATTCAACAAATACCTAAAGTAAGACTCAGCACTTCCACTGCAGGGAGCACGGGTTCAATCCCTGGTGAGGGAACCAAGATCCTGCAAGCCATGTCTCAGAGCCAAAAAAATTAAATATATATATATATATATTTTAAGGAGTAAAGTATTCCTTGCCTACACATAATACTAATTTTTAAATGCAATATTGTAATTTACAATGAGGGATTCACCCACATATACTGAGTCAAAGATTCATATAGCAAACTGGGGAATAATACTGGCACAGAGAATTTTGAACCATCAGTTATGAGCCTAATTTAATTGTTACCAATTTGGTTTTTACTTTTTAAAATTCTTCTTTCTCATTCTCTCTTCCTATAGGTTTGTAAAAGAATGGACTTGGTCTGCCAGAGAATGTTGAATCAGGGATTTCTAAAAGTGGAGAGGTACCATAATCTATGTCAGAAACAAGTTAAAGCACAACTCCCAAGGTATGTTATGGTTAGCATTGGCAATAATTTACAATTGGGGATTTTGTTTGTTTCTTGATTTTTGTTTGTTTGTTTTTAATCTCACTAAGGGTTTACTTGGGTTAAATGGTTTCCAAATTTTTGTAGCAAAGGGTACACAGATCACAATAAATCATTTTACTATGGTTTGTTCAACTCTCACCATATCTGTTCAACATTTTGGCTCAAACTAGGGCATTTAGGCAAGAAAATGAAATAAAAAGCATCCAGATTGAAAAGGAAAAAGTAAAATTCTCTATTCACAGATGATATGATCTTGTATACACATGATGTTGTATATAAAATACATTAATTATTAGAGCTAGAAATGAGCTCAGCAGGGATCCTGGATACAAGATTAGTACACAAAAATCAGTTGTATTGGGACTTCCCTGGTGGTCCAGCAGTTAAGTCTCCATGCTCCCAATGCAGAGGGCCCAGGTTCAATCCCTGGTCAGGGAACTAGATCCCACATGCTGCAACTAAAGAAAGATCCCGTGTCCCACAACTAAGACCCAGCACAGCCAAATAAATAAATAAATAAATGTATGTATGTATAATCCTATGCACTAGCAATAAACAATCCAAAAATGAAGTTAAGACAATTCCATTTACAATAGCATCAAAAAGAATTAAAAAAACTTAGTAATGAATATAACCAAAAAAGTATAAAACTTGTATATTAAAAACCACAAAACACTGTTAAAAGAAATTAAAGAAGACTTAAATAAACGGAAAGGCATTCTGTGTTCCTGGATTGGAAGATTTCATATTAAGATGGTAATACTCCTCAAATTGATATATATATTTTCAGTGCAACCCCTGTCAAAATCCTAGCAGTCTTTTTGCAGAAATTGACAGGCTGATCCTGTAATTCCCATAGAATTGCAAAAGGCGCAGAAATCAAAACAATCTTGAAACAGAGCAAAATTGGAAGACTACCATTTCCCAGTTTCAGAACTTACTACAAAGTTAAAATAATCAAGAGTATGGTGCTGGCGTAAGGATAGACATATAGGGACTTCCCTGGTGGCACAGTGGTTAAGAATCTGCCTGCTGCACCCTGGTCTGGGAGGATTCAAGTGCCGCGGAGCAACTGAGCCTGTGTGATGCGGCTACTGGGCCTGCACTGTGGAGCCTGCGAGCCACAGCTGCTGAAGCCCATGAGCCTGGAGCCCGTGCTTCGCAGCAGGGGAAGCCACCGCAGTGGGAAGCCCGCACACCGCAGCAAGGAGTAGCCCTCACTCACTGCAACTGGAGAGGGCCTGTGCACAGCAATGAAGACCCAACGCAGCCAAAAATAAAACAAATAAATAAAAAAATTTTTTTAAAGGAATCTGCCTGCCAATGCAGGGGTCACAGTTTCGATCCATGGACTGGGAAGATCCCACGTGCTGCGGAGCAGCTAAACCCGTGTGCCACAACTACTGAAGCCCACGCGCCTAGAGCCCATGCTCCACAACAAGAGAAGCCACCACAGTGAGAAGCCCGCGTATCTCAATGAAGAGTAGCCCCTGCTCGCCACAACTAGAGAAAGCCCACATGCAGCAACAAAGACCCAACGCAGCCAAAAGATAAATTAATTAATTTTAAAAGAAAGGATAGACATACAGATCAATGGAATAGAATTGAGAGTCCAGAAAATGAACCCTTAAATTTTTAGTCAATTGATTTTCAACAAGAATGCCAAGAAAATTCAATGATGAAGGATTAGTGTTTTCAACAAATAACACTGGGACAAAAGAATGAAGTTGGAAACCTTTCTCAAACCATATACAAAAATTAACTGAAAATGAATTACAGGCTTAAGTGTAAATGTCAGTGCTGTATTATAAAACCTTGAGAGGAAAACATAGTCATAAACCTTCATGAACTTGCATTAGGCAGTGGTTTTTTAGATACGACACCAAAAGCACAAGTAACAAAAGAAAAAAGTAGACAAACGAGAATTCATCAAAGTTTAAAATTTCTGTGCCTCGAAGGACACCATCCAGAAAATGAAAAGACAGCCTGCAGAATGGGAGAAGACATTTGCAGCTCATATATCTGTTAGAGGACTTATATCCAGATTGTATTAGAAACTCTTATAAGTCAACAATTAAAAGATAAATAACCCCAATTTGAAAGTGGGCAAAGGATTCGATAGAAATTTCTCCAAAGAGGATACACTAAAGGCCAAAAAGCCCATCAAAGATACTCAGCATCATTAGTCATCAGGGCATTGCAAATCAAAATAGTATGTGATACTGGTTTACACCCACTAGGATGGATGGCTAAAATTTAAAAAGACAAATGTTGGGAAGGAGGTGGACAAATTGGAATTTTCACATGTTACTGGTGAGATTATAAAATGGTGCAGCCACTTTACAAAACAGTTTCTCAAGAAGTTAAACATAGAGTCACCAAATGACCCAGCAGTTTCACTTCTAAGTATATACTCAGGAGAAGTGAAAATATGTCTACACAAAAACTTGTACACACATATTCATAGCAGCATTATTCATCATAGCCAAAAAGTGGAAACAACCCAGAGGTCCATCAACAGATGAATGGATAATCAAAATAATGGTATGTCCATATAATAGAATATTATTCAGCAATAAAAAGGAATGAAGAACTACTGAGACGTGCTACAACATGGATGAACCTTGAAAACTATGCCAGCTGAAAGAAGATAGACACAGAACACCACATAATATTATGATTATGATTCCAGTTACCTGAAGTGTCCACAATAGGCAAATCCATAGAAACCGAAAGTAAATTAGTTCTTGCCAGGGGCTGGGTAATGGGAGTGATTGATAATGGTTACAGGCTTTATTTCTTTTTTTAAAAAAAAATATCTTTATTGGAGTATAATTGCTTTACAATGTCTCGTTAGTTTCTGCTGTACAACAAAGTGAATCAGCTGTATGTATACATATATCCCCATATCCCCTCCCTCTTGTGTCTCCCTCCCACCCTCCCTCCCTATCCCACCCTCCCTCCCTATCCCACCCCTCTAGGTTGTCACAAAGCACCGAGCTGATCTCCCTGTGCTATGCAGCAGCTTCCCATTAGCCATCCATTTTACATTTGGTAGTGTATATATGTCGATGGTACTTTCTCCCTTCATCCCAGCTTCCCCTTGGCTTTCTTTTTGTGATAATGAAAATGTTCTGAAATTGGATGGTGGTGATGGGAACACAACTGTGAATATAGTAAAAACTACTAAATTGTACCCTTTAAAAGTGAATTTTATTGTATGTGAATTATGTCTCAATAAAACTTTTTAAAAGTTTAAATGAGCTGATTTTGTGGGCAAAAATATATGGTTTCTTGTCTTTATGTCCATGTGTAATTCTTTCATTAATTTCTCTAATAGCCATTAGGCTTGACAAAGCCAAAGAACAAAACAAAAAAAACTAATTTTTTTCAAATATTTTATCAGTGAGTATTGGATTAATCCTTGGCAAGGATTTCTAAACATAGTGATTCATTTATCATGACAGTTAAACAAATTATGACCCAATTGTAGATTTCTAAATTAAGGTGTAAATGTTAGACTTACATTAAGGCATTTTGTTTGGTTAACATTGTAGTCCACAGTACTTCTTTTAATGGTTGCCTTTTTTTTTTTTTTTTTTTTTTTTTTGGTAGGAGAGAGTCAGAAAGGAGAAACCATTCATTAGCTCGTCATGCAGACATCCTCGCTGCTGTTGAAACAAGGCTGTCTCTCTTAAATATGACTTTCATGAAGTATGTGGACTCCAATCTCTGTTGCTTCATCCCAGGAAAGGTAAAATAGAATCCCTTACCTAGAACAGCTGGATTGCACTATGTAAACTTTAAATTATTATAAAGTTACAGAGTGATTTTTTAAATAATAGAATTATTTCTACTTCTTTGAATGCATTTCTATGAATGGCTTTGTTTAGCTTCTGTGCAATAACATATACATATGTATCATTTATGTGATCTTTATATTTAAAATTATGATTTTGAAATACACTGTAGAAGTGCTACTATTCTTTAGAAAAGCTTTTTAAGGGTTCATACTCAAGAAAAAATTTTGCACTTTTACTTTTTGTTAAGATGCCAGAGATACAGCAATGAATAGGATAGGTATTGTCCCTGCCTTCAAGATTGTTATAATTTGGGGGAGGTGGAGTAGGAAAGACAAGCTGGTTTGGTTTTGTTTGAGAAATGTTTCATGAAGACAACTTACAAACTTCCAGATTTGACAAGAATAGATAATTACTGTGTAACAGTATACTCAGAGCTAAGTAATAGTGCTGTTTAACACAGAAATAAGTATATTGTGATATATTTATTGTTACTAAGTTAATAAAGATCCCAGCGTTCAACATGCTACTCATACCTTCACTAGTATCTTGCTTCTTGAATTGAGTGTAAATTCAGAATGAAATAATGTCTATATCTTTTTATGTCCAAGAGATGGAGGTAGAATTAAAGATCATTTTGCTACTTAGTTGATACTGGCAAAAGGTTCCCTTAACATGGTTGGAACTAATTAATAACTAGTAAAATTTGAATGTTCTCTTTTTGTTATTTCCATAGATAATTAACATTGGCAATATTTTTAATGTACTTTCTCCATTTTCAACTTTCTGTGACGTACGTTGGGAGCCAGAGGAGTCCTGTTTCTTTTGTTTGTTTGTTTTTGGTTTTGTGGTACGCGGGCCTCTCCCGTTGCGGAGCACAGGCTCCAGACGCGCAGGCTCAGTGGCCATGGCTCACGGGCCCAGCCGCTCCGCGGCACGTGGGATCTTCCCGGACCGGGGCACGAACCCATGTCCCCTGCATCGGCAGGTGGACTCTCAACCACTGCGCCACCAGGGAGTCCCTCCTGTTTCTTATTTAAAGTATACTTTCGTATAGCGCACTTCCCTCATATTAGCTACCAATGCTTCTGCACGGTACTATAAAAGAGTGACCGGGGCCTTCCCTGGTGGCGCAGTGGTTGAGAGTCCACCTGCCGATGCAGGGGACATGGGTTCGTGCCCCGGTCCGGGAAGATCCCACGTGCCGCGGAGCGGCTGGGCCCGTGAGCCATGGCCACTGAGCCTGCGCGTCTGGAGCCTGTGCTCCGCAACGGGAGAGGCCCGCGTACCACAAAACCAAAAACAAACAAACAAAAAATAACAAAAAAAATAAATAAATAAAAGGGACCGGTTAGAAACTTTAGATTCTGATTCTTATGCCAGATTTTATCCAGGTCTGATTCATAGGCCTTAACTCTTAGGTGTTCCTGGGATGTTCACTGAACTAGAATAGGTTGTCTCCTGTAGCCTTGTAGTTTTTATTGCATATCATAAGGTTATGAATAGTTAAGACACATCTCCAAGCTTCATAACCTTAGAGACAATTCAGTCAGTTGTTAACGAGAGTTGAGTAGTTTGCAGCGAAGTCCATATGGCCTGCAAAGCCAAAGATACTTTAGTACCTGACCTTTGCAGAAGTTGCCCATCTTTTGTTCTAATTTATCAGGATCATGTGATTAGAATGATATTTACTATCTATACAAATGAAGTTGAATCTAGTTGAGTCCTGCTGGTTTTTTGGAAACCACTTGTCTTTGCTTTTAATTCTAGTACCAACTGAGGTGGTGGTAGCAATGGAGAATGTCTTCAGCTTTCAAGCTGATGTGTATCACCCTGGGCATTTGCTCTGGACAGCTCCTTAACTGAGACCTTTACCTTGCCTGCAGTGGAAAAGTCTTCCATTTTTCCTTCATAGTACCCATTTCTTCCAAAGATCTTATCCTGATTTATTTTTCTCCTACAAATCTGAACTTGACTGGAAAAACAACCCCCCGAAAACAAATAATTTTTGTTTTTATTATCACCCTGGCTTCTTCTCTTTCTTACAAGTGCCATCTATATAGCTTATACCTTGCCTAAAACAACACTGTATACTCAGATTATTACTTTTTATTTTTATGTAGCTGGTACTTTTTAGCTTAGACTAAATCTAAACTGCTGACTTACACAGTTTGCAGTATTTGGGTTGTTTTATGATTGTTCCTTTTTGAATTTCTCATCCTTAAACTTTCACATTCTGTCTTCAGAACATAAGGATGTGGCATTAATTTTCTCATCCTTAAGTGAAGACATTCTATAAAATAATTTTCTTTCAGTTTAGCATATAATCTTGATTTGGTGTGTGATTTTTGTGGTAGTTTGTTCTTGGTTTTCCCAGGATCTTGCTCCCGGGTTATACTTAAAAGTTCAGGTGCTCTTATACTTTGTAAGAGAACTCTTTTCGTGGTTTTGTATAGAATATATCCATTTTGTTAAAATTCAGGTCTCCAGTAGGGATTTCATCTCATAAATTACTTTTCACAAGTTACTTAAGTGAATCTGGGTAATATGCACATTAGTTTAAATTAGACTGCCTGATATGTAACAGAATTTTGGACCTTTAACAGTTGGGAAAATTTTTTTCTTTTAATTATTCTCTGAAAGAACAGTTGAGTTTGTTCATAAAATTAAATGGCAGGATGAAGATAGAAGATTAAATATATGTTTACCTCTTAATTTCTCCCAGAACTCTAGTCAGTGGAGTGGAGTAAATGATCTAATTTTTAAAAGGAAAAAAGATAAAGACCCGTGAAAATGAGGTCAGAAAGTAGACAGCAACAGAATTTTGGAAGCTGGAGAGTAGATGAATAAATGGTAACTGACTTAGCAGAACTGAGAAAGTTAATTCCTAAACTGGGAGTGGGGGAAGCTGGGAGGCAACCCAGTATGCACAACTGAACCTCTAGAAAATTCTAGGTCGAAAGCTCCAAGCATTTCTGAAAATGGGGCTAAAACAGGAAGGTTGGTTGAGAATCTATATTTAAGAATGATTTAAACCTATAGGTCCCTTCTCCAGCTCTAAACAAGCTAGATCATTACCCTTCTACTCAGTGAAAACCTAAGGCTTATTCACTGGAGGGGTTTAAAATGGAGTCTCTTGACAAGGAAAGCATACTAATAGCAAGGGCATTAAAAGAAAATCTATCTAAAGATTAGTTGGGAGTTTGCCACTATGGCTATGGCAGGGATCAGCAAACTTTTTCTGTAAAAGGCCAGATAATAAATATTTTTGGCTTTGTGAACCACATGGTCTGTGTCATGAATACTCAACTCTGAGAAACAGCCGTGATTCTACAACATGTGGTAAATGAATGGGTGTGTGCTTGTGTTCCAGTAAAAACCCTATTTACAAAAATAGGCACAGGTCAATTAGGGCCATAGTTGCAGACTCTGACCACTACATTGATGTTGCATTCATCTTTTCTCAGAACTAGAGTTTAGATTCTTAGCTTATTCCTGTATACATTTCTCAAATTTTCTGTCTGACATATAGAAGTCAAACTTTTTATAGTAAGCTCTTGGTCAATATCAGCAGTTCACACATACTGAAAAACACATGTGAGCAGAGGCCAGCTGACCATTCTGGGAGGTATAATAATGAGAAAAGACATGAATAATTTCTTCTCTTCACCATTACTAACAGCCCCAGTAACCCTTTCGTGCTTATTGAAACACAAAAGTCAGTGTTTTTATAGTGTAAATGATTATGTAAGATCATGAAGCTAGATTTCCCTGAACAAACATAAAATCTACATATTATGTATTACTGGTTTGTTTTTAACGTTTTTGATGAAGAATAACTGGTGGTGGTCACTTTCTTTATTCCTTTTTTGGGGGGTAACTTTTTGTTTTGATGCATTTTCACATTTACACAAAAATTGCAAAAATATTACAAGGAATTCCTATGTATCTTTTATCCAGGTCAGCAATTATTTACCTTTTGTCTCATTTGCTTTTATTCTCTCTATATACATATTTTATTTTTTTCTGAACCATTTGAAGATGAGTTGGAGCTACTGTGACCCTATATTCTTAAATATTTCAATGTATTCCCTAAAAACTAGGACATTTTGTTACTTAACCATAGTACAGATATCAAACTCAGGAAATTTAACATTGATCCAATACACTTAACGAATCAGTGATCTGTATTTAAATTTCATTTCTTATCCCAATAATAGTTTTCCTAGCTATTCTTTTTTTTTTTTCTTTTGGCTGCATTGGGTCTTCGTTGGTGTGCGTGGGCTTTCTCTAGTTGTGGCGAGCGGGAGCTACTCTTGGTTGCGGTGGGCAGGCTTCTCATTGCGGTGGCTTCTCTTGTTGCGGAGCACAGGCTCTAGGCGCGCGGGCTTCAGTAGCTGCAGCACGCAGACTCAGTAGTTGTGGCTCGTGAGCTCAGTAGTTGTGGCTCATGGGCTCTAGAGCACAGGCTCAGTAGTTGTGGCACACGGGCTTAGTTGCTCCGTGGCATGTGGGATCTTCCCGGACCAGGGATCAAACCTGTGTCCCCTGCATTGGCAGGCAGATTCCCAACCACTGCACCACCACGGAAGTCCCCCTAACTATTCTTATTTCTGAGTCCAGAATTCAGTCTAGGATTACACATGGACTTGTTAATCCTCTTTAATGTGAAATAATTCCCTACTCTTTGTGTTTCTTGAGCTTCACATTTTTGAAGGTCATAGGTCAGTTATTTTGAGGAATAAATATCCTTCAATTTGAGTTTACCTAATGTTTCCAGAATATTGTATTTTTGTTTCTCTTAATTGGTTTTAATGTGAAGACATTCTTAAAAATATCTATTACTTGGAAGCATTTCCTCCTTTCACTATGCTGGTCCCCAAGTAAATATATACAGTCCACAAACCTTTAAAATGAAAAAAGAAGAATCAATCTATTCTCATTGATTTTTTTTTTTTAGGTCCCTGCTCTTATCCCCCTATACCCCACCTTTCCCACCATCTTGGCTAACTAGGAGTTCTGATCAGCTTTTTGTGTGCTCCATTCTTAAGTATAAGCAAGGAGTAGAGAATTGCCAGACTAATATGAAACACAGAATGAAACAAATGGGGAAAAATACACCTTTGAGAAAGCAATACAAGGATATGAAACTTAAAGAAACTGTGACTAATAGTCTAAGAGAAATAAGAAAATAAATAGTCAAACACATGCCATATAAAGAAATATTTACAAATATGGAAGAAACAATTTTAAGTAAAAGGGGCAGAAAGGAAAATTAAGGAAATCTCAAGTGGAACAAAAAGACAGAAAATGAGAACATATGAGGTTCAGTATTTTAATAGGAGCTTTGTTTGCTAAACAGTAGATTAAACAAGATAGAAATTTTCTCATCTACAGTAGTAGAAATACTTAAATGATATTCATAGTATGTCATTTATTACTGTGCCAATTTAAACATAAGCATGATATAGTAAACTGCATGTGTTAGAAATATAGCTGTTCACATTTGGTTTCTTACCATACTTTTTTAAAACTTAAAAATATTTTCGTAACTATTATTTTATTATCTCAAACTTGGGTAGGATTCGGCATGTGGCATATTATTTGAAAGGTGTACAAAGAGCCATTAAAGAGTTTAGGTGACGTGCCTAAAACCTGTGATCTTTACACTGGACACAAGACTCACACATTACATTCTTGTTGCTAAAGTAATTTTCAGAAAGTGATTAAACCTACTCAGAAATTGATATGTTTTAAAAATCAGGTAAATACTATGCTTTCTTAATATGTGCCTCTAAAGCCATTGTAGCCACTGATGACTCTGAATGCTAGAAGCAGTTTGGTTCTAACATGCTGTGTCCTTTTTCCCTCATGTTGTCCTTTGCTTATAACTTTTGGACAGAGGAAAGAAATTTTTTTTTTTTTTTTTTGCAGTACGCAGGCCTCTCACTGCTGGGGCCTCTCCCGTTGTGGAGCACAGGCTCCGGACGTGCAGGCTCAGCGGCCATGGCTCACGGGCCCAGCCGCTCCGCGGCATGTGGGATCCTCCCGGACTGGGGCACGAACCCACGTCCCCTGCATTAGCAGGTGGACCCTCAACCACTGCGCCACCAGGGAAGCCCCAGAAAATATTTTTAATTTTATTGAAAACATGGATGAGTCCATTTAACTAAATAACCTCTATATAGTAAGCTTTGAAAACATTGTTTCCTAATGGAAGACTTGAACAAATGGAAAGAGATACCTTGCTTTCACACTATATTTAGAAGGCTGAATACAGTAAAGATAAGATTATTTCATAAATTGGTTTACACATGTGATTTAGTATTAGTAATCCCTATGGGATAGTTTGATATGAAGTTAATTCTGAAGAATCAGGTCACGGAAGAGGATTCACTGCATAATAAATTTCTTTTAAAAACCTAGAATAAAGGCATGGTACGTAGTAGCACTACATACATGTTGATTTCCTATGCTGTCACCTGTCCATCCACATCATCCATCTCCTCAGTCCACTCCTCCTTTAGTCATGCCCAGACTTCTCTTCCCCATTGAAATTCTGCTTATTTCTCATGGCCAGGTCCTTCATTAGGCCTGCTCAGTTCTCTCAAACAGATCTTATTTCTCTCTACTTTCTTTTTCACACAGCACTTTTCTTGTACATTGAATTTACTCAGTTTGAGCTAGCCTTTCGTGTGTATGGGTCTTTCACTAAGTCATCTTGCATTGGATAATATGTGTGTTTTATTCATGCTTGAATCATTATAACAGTCATTTCTAGTCTAGTTCAAATATACTGTAAATATTCTTCTGTCTACCAGTATTTATGTACATAAACATAATATAAATAGACCCATTAATAAAGCTGTGGATAAATACTCTTTCAAATATTATGTATTTTTAAAAAATTCCTCTCAATAAAAATTCTGTTAACTGTGACCTTTATATTCAAAATCCAGCCTCTAAAAATCATATTCTTGTATTGACTTTACCCCTGTGGCTTGTCCCTAAACAGTTTTATTTAGATGTGTCAATATTAAGCAATTTATGATATTTGACCGTCTTTATCACTCATTTAACAGACGTTTATTGAGTATCTGCTCTGTGCCAGACACTGCTAGACTGTGGGGATCTGACAGTGAAACTAGGCATGGTCTCTTTAATTGAGCTTACTATATTATAGGAAGACAGACATTTACAGAAAAATGTAGTACTTAAAACTTGTAATGTGTATTCTGAAGGTAAAATAAAGGATTTGATGAAGATGTTAACATGATTTAAACTGAAAGAGGGTTCAGAAAAGACTGCTTACTCTGAGAAAGTGTTACTGAGACCTCAAAGGATGAGTAAGAAATTTGGGGCTAGAGAAGGTAGGGGAGATATGCAGGGAGAACATTCCAGAAAAGAGATCATAATGTGCAAAAACCCTGAGCAAAAAAGAGAGAGAGGGTTTGATGTAGTTCGAAGAGCTCATGGTTACTTTGTACCTGGAGCTGGAGTATACGGGCGTTGAGGCCAGCATAAAATGATACTGGAGCGTCGCAGTAGTGATTTATAACACACGTGTAAACGCCGATGAACACAGAGCTACTGTGGGTCAGTTAATATCCTAGCACTAGTACATAGACTCTCCGTCAATATGAAGGACCTTGAAAAAAATACTCTATTACTACTTTAGCTTATCTATTTTGTAATTAACAATTTTGTAATCATATATAAATATTAGGTTGTTTTTTTTTTCAAAGCATTGAGCTTATGCTAGCTTCCATAAATTTTTACTGTTTGGAGATACAGATATAGTTTGCATGTTTCTAACCCTTGAACTTAAACAAGCCAAACTGTCTCAGACCTTGAAGCCATTGCCATTGTTATTCCTGCTTAAATGCTTTTCTTCCCAGATCTTCCAGTTCCTCATCATCATTCAGTTTTACCTTAAATATGTCAAAGAAGCCTCTCCTGACCAGTAAATGCTTACAGGTTAGGATCTGTTCACATAATTAAATTGTAAGCCCAAGAGAAAGTACTGTTTTCTTCATTTCTTTTTTTTTTTGAATATATGTTAATAGTTCCTAACATGGTAGTCAGTAAGTTTTTATTGAAAAAAAATGTTATTTTCTTTTGGAATGAGTTCATAATCTAGTAGTAATGCCAAAAATAATTGTATCACTTAACCGCTAGTGCCTCAGAATTCTGCCTTTGACTGTCCTATTCTTTATCTTCTCCCTTAGCAATGTCAGTCCCTGTTATGCCATTGGCTACTGAGGCCTCTTCATCATTTGGAGTTTCTCTCCTGATCTCCTAACCTGTATCTCCAGATATGCCTGCCTGTCTAGTATCACCTGCATGGCCCATGTAATTCAAAACTAGCATATCTCCTATCTTATTACATTTGCCTACATGTACACCACCTTAGGCCAAGCCAATTCCTAGTCATCTCTCCAGGCCCACTGACATGGCCTCTTCTGTGAAGTCTTCTCTGATTTATGATAAAGACACATCCTAACAGTTTAATTTTGCTGACATTTATTTAGCACACATGATGCTAGACTGACAAGGATCATCTCATTGCCCTGAGAGTCTAGAACGTGTTAAGGACTGTAATTTGTCCTGGTACTATTCTGCAAGATTTTATATTTCTCTAGCAGTACTCAGCAGTCTGAATAAAGGAGAAGAAAAGGCCAGTTATAAATAAGATTGTTCCGTAGTTGGGTACTGGCTAGGTAAATGCAGCAGTGGAAATGAGTGGGATTCAAGGTGGTTTGAGACACTTTGGTGACAGAATGGTTTGGCTGATTAACCCACGAGTCTTGTGAGGTGAAGACCCATTGGAACAGATATCATCCAGACTGGAGATCTTCAGAGATGTACATTATTATCTTCAGGTCTACGCTGAAGCCATAGGAGAAAGTAAGGCTGACCTCACAGGGATTAAAGCTGAGGGCAGAATGCCTAAGGAAGGTTCAGTTACCATTCCAGCAAGAGAATTAGGAATCAGGATTGTCAGCTTTCTTCTCCATGTATGTATGCCTTGTGTTTCCCCATTGCAATTATTATTAAAATGAAAAAGGATCTCTTGCTACCCTTTGGCGATAACAAGAAAGTGGGCTGTGAGGAGACTTCATTCCAATCCACAGCAAGTCTAAGAGAAACAAAACTTCAAGGATAGAGCAAATAGTGGTGGTGTGAAAGAGAGAAGGAAATCAGGCTGAGTCCCTGGGGCTTTGGGAAACAGATTCAGACTAGAGTGAAGTAGGTTCAGAGGATTAGTAGAATATGGGTTTGGGTAATTCCCCCACCCCGACCCCTACTTGCATACAAGATCTAATCTCTTAGTTTAGTCTTCTAGTTTCTTTTGCAATTTGTATATCCCTCTTTACGTCACTTCTTTACACATCCCTCTCCCCAGTTACACTGATTTCCTTCAGGGCAGGAGCTGTATTTTAATCATCCTGATTCCGTAGCACCAGTATAGTACAGAAAAGATGCTTAAATAAATATAAATATGAAATGTATAAAGTATTATAACAAGCCCAAAGCCATGTGTTACAGATGGTAATGTTATCAGTGGTCAGTATATCAGTTAAGTCACCTGTAGGTCTTTATAGGAATTGCAAAACAAGCAGTCACTTTGCTCCCTGTTTAGCTGTTTTCTTTAAAAAAAAATAAATCTCAAGTGCTAATGAGAGCTCATTATTTTAGGTGATTGATGAGATTTATCGTGTGTTGAGATATGTCAATTCTACCAGAGCCCCTCAGCGAGCTCATGAAGTACTTCAAGAGTTAAGGGATATTTCCTCCATGGCAATGGAATACTTTGATGAAAAGATTGTTCCAATTCTAAAGAGGAAATTACCAGGATCAGATGTATCTGGAAGACTCATGGGCTCTCCTCCAGGTATCTTTTGTTTATAATACGTTCAGTTTATAATAATGTTCATATTATTATAATGTACATAGATTTGTAACTTGCATTTTCCCCCCACCACTTAACTGTGTATCTTGAACTTTTCTGGGTCTGTAACTGTATCTGCAACATAATTTTTAATGACAGATTGGGCTACAGACCATAATTTATGTAGCTGATCCGCTGCTGTTAGGCACATTTGTTTCCAGATTTTCAGTATTTGAACTACACTCTGAAGAACAATCTTGCGGCTAAATCTTTGTACATATCCACAACTTTTAACTTGGCTTAAATTTATCAGAGCAAATTGCTGAGTGAAAAGCTATGTATATGTGAATGGTTTTTGATGTTTCTGACTAGTTAGTATTCGTTATCCTATAACAGAATCAAATATACCAGACAAAACCCAAAAAATTCTTCATGGAAATAACCAGTTAATTATTTCAGCCCCTGGAGTATCTGGCTGCTACTTTAGAAGACAGGGTGCATAAGGCTGTTTTGAACATTGTCGGATCCTAGAGATTTGTGTCCTTATCTACTGAAAGAATGAATTGTTCAATATCTTCAACTCTTGCAACTATTTTAAATCTGGGAACAAATTTTTAGTAAAATATTTTGTTCAGATCAGTTAGCTCCCTGGAGTACTCGGTGGGGTAACTGAGTGGCTGTCTGTAATTTAATAATAAAGCTTACAGCATCTCAGCATTAACACATCTTTTATTTACTGAGTACCTGTTATGCGCACAGCACTGTACTGTGTCCTGTGGGGACTAAAATGAAGTATAATACATGGTGTCTTCTCTCAAGAATCTTCTTATTTCAGAAGGTAAGACATATCCAGACTCAAATTATCGTAGGCAAGAGAAATAGTTTAAAGGAGTGTCCATTTAAATGTCAAATGAGTAGCAGAGAGAATCTTAAGGAAGATAAAATCATTGTTGGCTGGTCTGATTGAGACTTCACAAGAGGTGAGAATTGATCTGAGCCTTGTTAGTTGGCTAAAGGGAAGCAGAGAGAGAAGGAAGAATGCATCAACTAAGGAAAATATTCTGAGTATTTAAATGTATAAGGAGAAAATTAGCAAGATGGGTTTTAGGGTGTGGATGGATCCATCTGGTCCTTTTAGAAAAGCTTCAGGAGATAGGGTTTTTAAAAAGTAGGTTATTAGTTTAAAATGGTGATTTTTGTGCCCATGTTACATTCTATTATTACTAAAACAGAATAATTCCAAAGCCTTCCTACACCATGTCAGAAGTTCTTCCTGATCATCACATGTGATGTAACCCACTTTTTGATGGTGTCCCTGTTGTTTGGCTAATGTTGAAGCCTTCGCATATAACTAAGTGCAGAGAGGATTTGCGAACATGATAGGTCTGTACTTCTAACTCAGATGTTTTATGTTTGCTTGTGTGAAATAATTCTACTCTACTTTTACTATTTATACTTTCTTACTAGGTCCTAAAAATGCTTTATAATATTTTAAATCCAAGTTTATGCCATTAAATGCCCATCTCCATTTGCTTGCATTCCACATATTGCCACATGAACATGAGAATCAGAATTCAAACTCATTTATAGTTAAGACAAGGTGTCTGATTAATCCATTAGATCAAGTAGATTGCAAAGAAGAAATTATCAGAAGTGATTTTATAAAGGATATTTCTATTTTTGAGTAAGTTTAATTAATGAGGTATTACTGGTAGTGAGGCATTTTAAGTGATTGACCATTTTAAACTATTTCTCCACAGTTCCAGGACCTTCTGCAGCCCTGACAACAATGCAACTCTTCTCTAAGCAAAACCCTTCAAGACAAGAGGTTACCAAACTCCAGCAGCAGGTTAAGACAAATGGTGCTGGGGTGACTGTTCTCAGGCGTGAAATTTCTGAGCTTCGCACCAAAGTGCAAGAACAGCAGAAACAGCTTCAAGACCAGGACCAGAAACTGCTAGAGCAGACCCAGATCATAGGTGAACAGAACGCACGGTTGGCAGAGCTGGAACGCAAACTGCGAGAAGTAATGGAAAGTGCAGTAGGAGACTCCTCAGGGTCTGGGCAGAATGAAGAGTCTCCTCGGAAACGCAAAAAGGCCGCAGAAGCCATAGACTCTCTTAGGAAATCTAAACGTCTCCGGAATAGAAAGTAAACCAGAATGTGCTTCTAGCTCCAGAGGAAGCCCTGACTTCGTAGCTTGAGCAGTTCTGCATATCAGGACACTGTGAGCAACATGGTGTCCCTTAGCTCTAGGCTTTCAGAACACAGCGTAAACTTGAACTCTCATGGTTGGGACAGTCTTTTCCCGCTTCTCCTCGTTGAACTGATGCGCAGAATCCTTTTATTTTGCAATAGATTTGTACTAACCAGACCTATCCTATCATGTTTTGAGAAGTTAACTTTATTTCTGTGCAGATAATGTTTAAAGCAAGTTTATCTGTTTCTGCATATATGCACATTACATAAGGATCTTAAACCAGTCTTGACAGACTAGAAGTTAAGTTTAATACATAAAATGTCCTGTTCACTTGAAAGAAAAGACCTACTTTTTAAATGGACAGTATCTTGTTTTTAAAAAAAAAATTGACTTTTTGTTATAAGTGACCTTTGTCTGGAATGTCTGAAAAGTAGTAAATGCTTTTTGGTATTGAAGTAATGGGTAACTAAAACGGACTTCCATAGTATTGGCTGTAGAAGGGGCCTCTACAGTATTGACTATATATTTTTATAAACTACTGGCAAGGGACTTACCCAGTTGTTATATACATGTTTTCGGTTCACTTTTGGGGCCATGTCCTACATTTGCATGGATGGATGCATGCATTGCCTAGTCAACTCACTTACAAAGCTCTTGCACTGGTATTGATCTTGAACCTCTACACTTCTCCACTTTTTAGAGCAGCGTCTTAGTTCATTTAAGCGCTTAACATCTTCCACCACAACAGCTTGCCTCTGGGGGCGGGGTGGTATTTGTATGTCCATTTGTCCTCCAGTTTTACAAGAATAAGAGAGTATTAGAGCCCATTGCTTTATCTGTTCTCTGCAGGGTTCAGGTACACTGGCTGAGGCAGAACCCCAAATTCTTTACATTGATGTCAGACTTCTGGCAACTAGTACTCTTCCTTACTCACCGCTGTGTGTGCTCATTGATCAAATGTGGTCATGACCAGTGGTGTGAGTAGGAAACCCAACCTGTTGGATGCAGTTTTGCCACTGAAAGAAAGTTCACTGAAGAAAATTATACTATGAAAAAGCATTTTGATCGTTTCATTTCTGGGGAATGACCTGAGGGAAGCTTTTTAATATTAATTTCAAGCTTTCCTTATCCTGCAACTTTAAACAAAAGCTTTAATTTCGTTTGCACTCCTGTTTTGAGCTTGTAACTGGAAAAGCATGTCTTGCACTGTTCAACCTTCTAAGTGGTCACTTTAACAACCTCCAAATTGTGTACAGTGGTTATTTTCCCCACTTGTTTATTTTTGAAACAGTCAACTATTACTGTCCTAGTTTTATTTTAATGTACTAAATTATGTAGTCATTATTTGCCTGTTAAGTTCTTTTAAACAACTGTTGCCTTGGGCTTCAGTTATTTAAGGTAAACTTAGGTGTAGTATAGAATACTATCCCTTTCCAGGTGGGAGTTTAACACCTGTATAAAACCTAAGGTTTTGGTAAGTACCTTAGTTGAATAAAAGCACAAGGTCACTACCTTTTTTTATCTGTCCAACATGACTTGGTTATGCATCCTTGAGATTAACCTCACCAAATGAAACGTTTTCTTATCAATTTTTAACATTGTCCTTACATAATATTGTCCTTAGATTTTGATCAATTCTTTGTCTAACTTTGAAACTCCATTTACAATGTAGTATGTTTTCAATGAAAAACCATAAAATAACATCCAAGTGTTTTCATGGTTTGTTGGGAAGTAATTTTAAAATAAACAATTTCCAAAAAACATTTGTCAGCCAAGGTCATCCATAAAAGTCCCTGTCTGGAACTCATTTTCTCAGCAGGTCTCATTTGTTTAATCATAGGATTTAGCCATATTGTCACAACTTCGGAGGAGGCCTATTGGAATACTCATGGCCTTTAATAGTCTGCCTTCCTGGCAATAGGAAGACTTTTAAGTAACAGAGTACATGTTTACAGGCTTACAAAGGGATATAACCTCAGATGATCTTTTTAATAGTTGTTAATGAATTATTTAAAGTTCCCTGGGTCTCTTTTTAAACTACATCTGGACACCCTAAATGTATCTACAGTCTCAGTTAACATGAGTATTTGGCTTCTATAATAAGCACTCACTATTAAAAGATAGATTTTCTGTTTCAAAATCCAAATTTCTACAGTATACACTTGTAGTCATCTGCCCATAAGGTTAATGAGTTGCACTTGTTAATGCATGAATGTGGCATAACAGTAGGAGATAAAGCACTACAGTTTGTTTTAAGTCTTAAATCTTAACTAGCTAAAACATGTTAGGATGTTGCCTTGGCCCATTTGATAGCTGTTACACTTGCCTTTGGGTAGTATAATGGTATTTAAGTTTCAACAGATCACAAAATATTTCCTTCACCTAAAACTGCCATATGTTACAGGAAAATTGTAAATTAGCCTCCCAAGAGAGAAACCATCCTGCCCTGGGTTATAGGTCGGTAATTTAGATGCTGTATGTTAATATTGTGTTGTCCTAGAACATTTTATAAAGTATTCCTGTCATCTTCCTTGGCTGTCTTTCAGAGGAGACTTCTCTAATAAGTCGTCCCACTTACGAATTGATTATGGTGCAATACTACAAACAGGTACCATGTGGAAGGGCCTATGGAAGAAATGGAGAGGACTGCCTCCTCGCCCCCAACATGATTCTCAGCTTATCTCCCATGTGGACTTGGCTTGGTTTTCACATATTCTGAATTATGTATTATTTTAGAACATGAGGATATAGAACCTGGTTTTTGTTTGTTTGTTTGTTTTGAGCTCCTCTTGATGTACAGAGCCTGGAAATAATGGGGCAAACACAAATGTAATCAGAGTAATCATACTGTTTTAAAAACTTGGGGTGCCATCAGGTCTAAAGCCACTGGCTTTGGAAGCAACTTTTCTTTTGTAAAACATGTTTTTGGAGTACTGAACTTTACAGGGGCTTGCCTTAATCTCTATTTAGTAGTTTCAAATGTAGGCGCTATTATTCTACTTGTTAAAATGTTAAAATATTCTATGTAGCCCCTAAGGTGGGTAGAACAGAGTATAAGTAATGCCTAAATAAATAAGCTAAAAGGTGTCACTACAGCTGGATTTTTGAGCGAAAATGGACATATGAACATAGGCTATGTGTAATAAAAATAATGGCACCTTAAGATTGCACTATTTTATGCATTATTTTATATGCCATTTCATAGCCTGCACTTTAATCTCCAAAGAAACAATGTATGATGTCCCAGTTCCTTATTACTAACAAACTTTTTCCTAAGACAGGGCACTTAATTCTATTTTACTATACTGAAATAGTTTCTTGGAGGTAGATTCCTCTTTTGAGTTCTCTATTTCCTTAGCCATAATATTTTCTAGGATCTAGGAACTCCCTATCTTGTCTATTTCCAACAGTATATAATTTTAATTTAATGTAATGTAAAATCTCATACTTGGTGATCAGCACATTCTTATATCCTGCTCTAGCAAAATGAGTACCCATTTTTTAACACTTACCAAACCTTCTAAAAATAATGATATGCTGTAAGTAAGATCTGAAGCCAGGGATAAAGGCATTCTCAAAGGAAATGCCATGTATGATGCAGTCTCTTGGAAATGGCTGTTTCTAGTGTAAAATACAATTTGATAGCCTATTCAATGATTTGACTTGGGATCGGAATTCCTTTAACTAGTCCTCAAAAAGTTAATGAGTAAAGAACTACTTTAAAATAACAAACTTCTATAGCCTGCCATCTGAGGTGAATTATTTTCAAGAAATCCTATATAATCTACAAAATGAAATTAGCAATTAGTTGACTGCTGCCTACCATGATTTTATTTTTAATAGCAATACATTTATATTTGTGGTAAACACTATAGGCTTAAGTAATGGCCTTTTCCAGCTTCCTAAGAATCTTTGTTAAATTTCTGAAATTGAAACATTAAATTGAAAATTTTCCTGTTGTGTCTGAAGAGAACCATGGGATTTAGAAGCATATTGGTAATCTATTAGGTCCATTGCCAAAGTATACATCAAAGCTATACCAAAAGTTTAGACCTGTTTAAAATTACTTTATGTGGTACCATGTCTGTTTACTTACGGTCATGAGCAACAATAAATTACAATAGTTTACCTTCTGGAATTTTAATTGTTATAACCTAATTCAATTACTGGAAAGTGAAAAACACCTCCCGGGCACATGACAGGGTACGTAAATAAATGTGTTTTTACCAGTGTTACTTGTTTTCTTTGTATTTCATGCACAAAGATTATGGAGCTCTTCATCTAACAAATGCCATGCTAATAGCTACCACCTCTTAAAGCAGTATATTGTTTTAGTTTAATCCTCATAGCCACTTTATAAAGCAGGTTTTACTCTCTATAAGGAAGTTAAACTCAGGTTAAGCAACATATCCAGAATGTTATACAAGGAAGTGCCTAAGTGGGATTTGAACCCAGACCTACCTGCCTCCAAAGCTTATGTATTTCTGCTACACTCTACTACATTCTAAAACAGCTGGGACCTATGAGACTCTAGATTACATTAATTCTTTAAACTCAATAAATATATAGAAGAACATTTCATACATCTACCAGAAGCAGTCTATGCCAAAAATCACTAATGTTAAGAGTAACATACAGAGCTTAAAATCATGAAGACTAGGCTTGAAGGAGGCAACTTTTGTCCTCAAGTTCTTTGACAATGGATTTACACTAGGCATACAGGTAAAAGAAAATATTTTTAAGGCTTCTAAGAACCTGTAGTCTTAAATAGGCAGTCCTGGCAAGAGATGTAGCTGGAGGCCACTAGCGCATGTCCGTAGTTGCCTTACTATAATGTTGGCTACCAGTCAGTACAAAAGTAGTGACCACCAATTCTCTTGTCCTGCCGGGGAAGAATACTCGTTCTCTTCTAATTCTCTTTTCAAAATTCCTTCCAGCTCCAAGACTATTCAAAATTTCAATGCAATAAAATCATACAAATCAATTTCATCTCTGTTTCATAAAGATGTAACTGATAGGGAATTACTGGAAATGAAATTTTCTGAGGAAGAACACACTCTTCTTTGATACTTTACCCACTCACTTTGTTTCCAACTTAGAAAAGAGATCACAGATGAATTTATGCTGAAAGATGAGGGTGACAACCGTGGTATCAGTTACCCCAACACCATCACTGCATTCTAGTCATCAAGATATCACAGAAACATAGGGACTTCCCTCGTGGCTCAGTGGTTAAGAATCCGCTTGCCAATGCAGGGGACACGGGTTCGATCCCTGGCCCGGGAAGATGCCACGTGTCGCGGAGCAACTAAGCCCGTGCGCCACAACTACTGAGCCTGGGCTCTAGAGCCCGCGAGCCACAACTACTGAAGCCCGGGCCCCATGCTCCACAACAAGAGAATCCACCGCAATGAGAAGCCCGCGCTCCGCAACAAAGAGTAGCCCCTGCTCACCACAACTAGAGAAAGCCCGCACACAGCAACGAAGACCCAACGCAGCCAAAAATAAATATTTTTAAAAATTAAAAAAAAAGATATCACAGAAACCTAGAAAAATAAAAACAGCTGCTGTACCTCCCAGTCTTCAGAGGGTAGATCAGGGTGGAGATCTTTATTCCTATCTCCTTCAGGTAGTTCAGCTGCTATGCAAAAAACACATTGTTGGGAAACCAAGAATCTTTACCAATACCATTGCTTTAAAAATAAAAGGATATCTCTTTATTTATGAACTCATGTTAATTCCTGAAACAATTCTTACAGGCTCCATTAAAGATTATTTTTCTCATCCAGAAAATGTGTTTCAACTTGCTTATATTCCTCAGGTTTTAGTGAGTCATTTCCTGAAAGCAAAATTATAGGAAATCGTGAGGAGAAAAACACAGTGGCGGATGTTTGAGCACAAAGTACAAATTATGACTGGAAAGGAAATACAAATCAAGGATGAAATTCCCAAAACTCATTAAATTTTGTTCATAGAAATACATTCAACCAAAGAGCTTTCTCAACTTTTATGTTTTAAATTTTTTTCCCCTGGGATCTTTAGATTGAACAAAAGTCAGTTTCTACCTGGAATCTGAAGCAGCAATGTAAATAATTGGCTCCGGGAATGCAAAACCTATGGCGTGCTTTCTCTCTTAGGACACAGGGAAAACCCCTGTCTTCTCAGGGCTAAGCAGAAGATGGGGAGGGGGAAGCAGAAGCAGGGGACCTAAAATGCTTGTTCTTCCTTCGAAGGGTTGCAGCAAGCTTACAAGAAAGTGCCTTAGCTCTCTAGATAACCAGTTTCTATAACCCTAGGTGCTGCCATAGTAGCTGCTTTCCATTCCCAAAGCAAAGGCAGCTTGTGCCTTCCTTGTAAGAGGACAATAAAGGAATGAATGTCAAGGGGTTAACAGTGCTCAGCACATAGTAAGCAGGTAATAAGTAATAAACTGTGGTAAATATATATAGGGAGATAGATATGACTAAGGAAATAGAGATACAGAAGATATATTGCGTTGGCTGCATGTATTTCCTTCAATCCTTGCTTTAAGCATATTTAAATTTTTTTTTTTTTAAGCATGGAAAACAATTAGCTATTACAGGCTTTCTAGCCTCCTGGGGAAATTTATTTTCAATATTTTAAAACTTTTATTTTCAATATTTTTAATATTTCACAGGACTTTTTACACTGCCCGGCAGTGCTTCCTTGAGAGCCACAGGAGAGAAACCACTTTTTTTAAAAAAAATATTTATTTATTTAATTTTATTTTTGGCTGCATCAAGTCTTAGTTGCAGCACGCAGGATCTTTTGTTGCGGTGCACAGACTCTTTGTTGTGGCACGTGGGCTTCTCTCTAGTTGTGGCCACAGGCTTCAGAGGGTGCAGGCTCAGGAGTTGCAGCACATGGGCTCTCCAGTTGTGGCACGTGGGCTTAGATGCCCCATGGCATGTGGGATCTTAGTTCCCCGTCAAGGGATCAAACTCCGCATTGGAAGGCGGATTCTTAACCACCAGACCACCAGGTAAGTCCCAAGAAACCAGTCTTGAAATGCTCATCCTTCTCCACCTTGAGCTGAGGGCTCTGATAAGGAAGGAGGACCTCGACCTGAACCTGGTAGAATAAAGAGAGGAGCCTCTTCAGAACTCCACTCCCTTCACCTTAAGACACAACCAAGTAAGAGTCAAGCATATGTGCAATGGAACCAGAATTGAGTGCCTACTCCCAGCTCTACCAATTATGAGCTATGTAATACCGGCTTGGGGGGTTAATACTTTGAGGCTCAGTTTCATCATCTGTAGAATACTTCCTACCTCAGAGAGTTGATGCAAAAGCCCAAAGGATTCAGGGAGGGTGGTGGAGTAGGAAGAACCAGGAATCTGTCTCCCCACTTAGACAACAATTACACTGGCAGGATCTGTCTGATGTAATTATTCTGGAACTCTGGGGTCTATTGAAGACTTGCACTTCCAAGGAAAGACTTGTGGTTAATTTGGGTCAACTTCAGGTCTTAGCACAGGAGCAGCCAGCCACCCATCCCCAACCCATGATGGGCTAAAAGGACCCTGTCCCCCAAATATTTGGGATCTGTGTTCTGATCACTGATCACTGCTTCTGATCACAGAGGTGCAGACAAAGATTGCAGGAAGCCACTGTTGTAGCTCCCTCCATTGTTGCGAGCTTCTCTCCCACCAGCTCTCCCACTGCCTCCTAGGAGATTTAAAGAGCCAGCACCCTTTCCACCACCACCCCTTCATCTTTCTCTTTTTTAATGTCTGGAAGCCAGACATTAAAGACGAAGACATTCAACAACCACTTTATGTACTGGGAAAATTAGAAAGTGACCAGGTATGCGGAAGGAAAGTCTCAAATAAAGACCTGAGAGGACATTAAGTTTACACCTCAGACAGACCCTCAGCACAGAGACAGCCTACAACAATCAAAATAAATAAATATACAAAAACAATTACCAAAATCCAGCAAATCCTGGGCATGCAGGAGAACATGATTCCCAGAGTTACCACATTATTAGATTTAAATATCTAGTTTTCAATAACAACAACAAAATCACAAGGCATACAAAGAAACAGAAAAGGATGGCCCATTAAAGGGGAAAATATAAATCCATGGAAACTGTCCCTTAAAAAGGACTAATGGCAGATATACTAGACAGATTTTAAGATAACTTTTTAAAAGATGCTCAAAGAACTAAAGGGAGATATGGAGAAAGTGAAGAAAATGATGTATGAACAAAATGGAAATATCAATAAAGAGATAGAAAACCTAAAAAGAAAAAGAAATTTTGGACCTGAAGAGTAAATAACTAAATGAAAAAATTTACTAGAAGGCAGATTTGAGCAGGCAGAAGAAAGAATTAGGAAACAGAAATAGGACAAGGAAATTAAGTCTGAGGAACAGAAAGAAAAAGATTGAAGAAATGAACAGAAACTAAAGGATCTGTGGGACACCAACAATAGGCCAAAAAACACATTGCGGGAGTCCCAGAAGGAGAAGAGAGAAAAGAGCAAAGAGAATATTTGAAGAAATTATGGTTGCAAACTTCATACATTTTATGAAAGACGTGAATATAAACATCCAAGAAGCTCAGTAAACTCCAAGTAAGATGTACTTAAATAGACCCACGCTGAGACACATATAATCAAACTTTCAAAAACCAAACACAAAGAGAGAATGTTGAAATCATACAAGGGAGAAGTAAATCATTACATACATATCCTCAATAAGATTATAAGCAGATTTCTCATCAGAAACTTTGGAGGCCAGAAGGCAGTGGGCCAATGTATTCAAAGTGCTAAGAGAAAACACTGTCAACCAAGAATCCTATATCTGGCAAAACTGTCCTTCAAAAGTGAGGGAGAAATTAAGACACTACCGGATTAAAGAAAAAAAAAAGAAAAGCTGAGGGGTTCTGTTTCCACTAGATCTGCCCTGCAAGAAATGCTCAAGGGAGTCTTGCAAGATTAAATGAAAGGACACTAGACATTAACTCTAAGCTATATGCAGAAATAAATATCTTGATAAAATTAAATACATCTGCAATTATAAAAGCTAGTGCTACTGTAACACTGATTTGTAAGTGCACAGTTTTCCACATAAGTGACAAGATTAATACATTAAGAAAAAAATCACTAGTCTATCACAGACTTTGAAAACAAACTTATGGTTACCAAAGGGGAAAGGTGGTGGGGGGGATAAATTAAGAGTTAAGGATTAATGTATACACACTACCAT